TACTATATTGTCCATTGTTACTAGTTGAAAATTAATATTTTATTAGTCTCCATTTCAAGTAGGCAAGCTGTCAGTAGAAGGAGAAACTCTTTTATTATAGTGTCATTGAAGATAACAAACCTGGCAGAGGTCCAAGATGGACATGACAACACAGCTTTATTATATTTTTACATGTTATAATAGCACAAATTTATTTTATTCTGCGCTAAATATGGTTTCACGGTTCCACCACACTTATGCCTGAGGACGAAAGACAGACGTGAGTCAGAATCTGAACTTTCGGAGAGAACAATAATACTAATTGAATTGAATCGTTGAAGATTAACTCATACACTGGATGATCACGATCATAAAGTTAAAACTGTACGAGTTGCTGCAAATTAAATCCTAGATAAAATAGGAAGCTGCTATTAGTCAATCTATATACTTGTATTTGTAGGGATGCAACATCTAAAATGAGCATTTAAGAGAAGAAATTAATTACTTACTGAGCATATTCAACATTGATCTTGGCATCTGGGAGTTTGGATATGGCATCGAAGGCTTGGTTTGACAGGATAAAGGTTGCCTGGCATGGATTGGATCGGCATGCATCAACAACTTGGACGACAATGGAATTGCCCTTGCAGGGTCTCTTCCGGCCACTGATGCACCTCATCCGATATCTCCGGCCACAGGCAGCTCCATTGTCCCATACTCCATCACTTGCTGCTACAAAATAGCCTCCTTGTGGGAATTGTCCTTGGTCATAACCGTTGCACCTTGTTGCTGCATCAAAAAATAAATATATAAAAGTATTTAAAATTTTACTTAAAAAAGCAATATGCAGTCAAGATTAATCAAGAAAAATAGTGTGCATTTTAGAGTTCAGATCAACTGAATGCACACTATTTTTTTGAGTTCTAAAATTACTGAAAAAGTTGATTACAGATTATGACATGAATCCTTATGAATGCTTTTAACTTCTTTCTAATTAAGTTGACTATATTATTATTGTCGTCGTCATCATCATCTATATATATATAGGTAGTGATACAAAATAGTGACAAAAAATTGACCCCATGCAGTGATCGCAATCTCCTCCAACCCTGCTTGCTAGAAGTATATATATCACTCATTGTTATTTCACATAACATAATTTGTGTATAGTGTACAATGTACTTATTCTTTTAACTGAGGTAGTTCGGGCCTTGAGCTGCTAGCAGCCCAAAACCAAGCAGAGCTGGACAAGCTTTTGCCCTAGTGCTAATTATGCAGTCACTAATACTACAAACACATAATACTTCCCTAGAAAAATGTATTGAATGCAGTGTTGCATTCATTTTAGTAGAGTGTGCTCCGTTCAATGTTGTCAATACTGTATTTTTTTATTTAAATTTTTTTTATGTCACTATGACGAATAATTACAGAAATGCTATGGTCACATCATTCTATATGATTGTATGATTTTTCCGCATGTTTAGCACTTTTTAAGAATTTATCTCCCAATCAGTGCACAACAATAAGTTAGGTGTTGTTTGGTTAAAATTTATAGTTTTTAAAAAATATTAATCTTGCTTATGTTTGTTTATGGTAAAAATGAAAACAAAAATATATTTAGTACATACGTGTTTTAAAAACTTATTTTGCAAACTAATAGTAGAAGAGGTCAATAGGAAATGGTTGTCAGATATGATTGCCGACCACCAAAGTGATCACTAGAAAAAAGTGGCGGTTAAAGGAGATTTCTGCAATTGGTGGTGGTTGGAGGTTATTTCGATAAGAAGTGGTGGCCTATAGTTGCCACTGGTAGGAGGTGGTTGTTAGCCATAATAAGTAGTTACTAAGGAAGGTTACCAACAACAGTGGTCACTAATAGTGATGAGCAGTAAGTGATGGCTAGGGAGGGTGGGAGGAGCAGGTGGCCAGAGGTGGTTGTTGAAGGAGGTCACTGGTGACAGTGATGACCGGGGGTTGAAAGAGTGAAAACATTTTTTTCTAAACAAGTAAAACTAATTTTTTGTCATAACAAATATTTAATAAATTTTGTGAATCATGATTTGAAAAACGAAAATTGATGCTAATCAAGTTTTACTTAGGATAGTTTATTAGTTATCAATATTTTTTGTAAATATAAATAAAAAATTATAAGCATAAATATTATCAAACATATCTACAATAATATATATTTTTTTAATTTCCAATGAGTAGATATAAATGAGTCATAGCACTTTTAATAAAAATAAATAAAAATAAATATCTACATGTATAAACATATATACACAAAAACAAGACTGGCATGGAACTCATAAAATTGTAGGACCCACAACATTTTCTATCATTTATAATTTTTTGTGATTGAATTATGTATTAATAACAAAATTGTTTCTAATTTTGTAAGTACACATCATAAACGTACGCAGATATGGAGGATCGTATGATGATGCGGTTCCAATGTCCCCAGCAACAAGAAGAACAACACCAGAAGAGAACCACCCTGCAACTGCAACTACTAATAAAGCTAATAATATGAATCTCTTTTTTTTTTTTGAAGTCAGAGTAAGTGAAAGTTAGAGTTCTACCCTTCTACTTTACACTTCAATGAATCCTCACAATCCACATATTTATACTAGTGAGCTTAATAGTGACAAACAGGAAACTAAATAATTTCATAATTTTTAATTATGACACTGGTATTATTTATTAATTATTTCTAAAGGACCTGGACGGTGTCCAGTATCAAATCGGATTAGATAGTCTAGTTTAGCCTATTAGGCTTACTTCAGGTTCCCATTTTGATGAATTGAATCGTTTATATTTTAGGATTCATCGAATACATCATCAATATAAAAAATCAAGTCGATCGGATAACGGAAATCACGTGTTTGGATCAATTTGTATGAACCATTTATTTTTTTACAGTCTATTTTTTTTCCATACAAAGCTGATCTATATATATGGTTGCCATTATCCGATCACCTTATTTTTTGCAGGAATGATGTGTGGGGATATATTTTCTGAGTACCAACATGTGGCAAGGTAACGCCGACGTGTCAGCCGAGGTGCCACGTGTCTTGGTCGTTGTACCGAGGACATCTCGGCTAGGCCGAGGTTGACTCCGAAGATATCGGAATCCGAGATAAGCGGATAAGGGACAAGAGTCCTAGAATGAAGAAGGAACTCAACTTGGATATGGACAAGAGTCCTAGATTGGGAGAAGACTTCAGTTTGGGTAAAAATAAGACTCTTAGGGCATGTTTGATTGGGTGGATTAGAGCATGGGATTGGGATTATTTATCCGTGGGCCCAATTATCCTATGTTTGTTTTAACATTTTGGTTTAGGATAATTAATCCAATGGATAATTAATCCAACAAATTTGTAGTATTATTAGTAATGGGGTAGAGGTGGGATTATTAATCCAATGGATATTAATCCAATTGGATAGTGAATACCACACTAATTTAATAAGATTATTAATACTTCACTATTAATTTTGTGAATCAAACATGACCATAGAGAGTTTATCCTAATCCCATTGGGAGTCCCAAATTAGCAGTAATCCTAAATCCATTAGGGTCAGGCTCCTTTTGGGACTAGGATTGTATTGACTATAAAAAAGAGGCACCCCCATGGGTCTAAGGTATGCTTTTGATACTCAAGCTTGTGAGTTTAGTACTTGATTTATCTTTGAGAGATATACTGACTTGATCGTCGGAGTGTCCCCGGGTGGTCGAAACCACCGCGGGATTCTTATATTTCTGTTGCAGGTCAGTCAGGTGCCATCTATTCTGCCAGTGCTTTCCAGCCGCTTACTAAGCGGGCAGTGTGGTCGGAAAATCACTCACACATGATGTATTCGACAAATCCTAAAATATAAATGATTCGGATCATCAAAACATAACCCTAAAAGTGGGCTCAATGGGTTAAACAATATTAGACTAGAGAAAAGTCAGTCCCATTTGTAAGTTATATAGATTGGTTGTTATAAATATTTTAAAAATCAACTGGGATACTTCAGTTAGCCACCGTAGTATATTTTTAATTGAGTGGTTCACTAGTCTACCAATTTTTTCCCATATGTTAAGTTATTCATTTTTTGATAACTGAATGTCTGAGTTAATTTACGCATTTAATTTATGCACAACTCAACTTATTTTAAAATTCTAAAATTAACAATCACGTCAACTTTCACTGGCCATTGGGGCTTCCTTTAATTGTTATTTCTTCCTCCATGGACTGTGCTGTATTAGTTTAGTTTGTTAGTGTTTAACTCGCCGACATGTGATGATGGTAGACTACTCTTTTTATTTATTTATTTTTACAGAGGTTGCTTACAGTTTGACAGTTTTAGTAATTTTTTAATTTTTTTATTCTTTTATGATGTGAAAAAAAGTTAATGTCCTTAGAAATTTTTTTTTTTTTGTTATATGAAAAAATGTGATTTTTCATTTTTTATGCCACTAAAAATTTATGTTATATTTAACTTTTTAATTTTTTTTTTTTTAACGTTTATTTCACCTTCTAAGCCAAAATATTTCTTTGCCCTTACTCATGAGTCATGAATACATGACGCAATTTAAAATATCGACTAATTTATATTGGGATCTTGAGTTGTTGATACGATATTCATAAATATATGGTTTGATATTACCTAAATCAAATGATATATCATCATATGGATTGTATTTTTCATAGGGATTGAATCCTCTTCGGTTAGCATATCCAATTAGACGGTTTAACGTGCCCAACTGTGGGCTCATTTCGGGGCTGTCTCAATAATCCAACCCCTTATTTTGTAGGATATTTTGAAGGAGATCATGCATACCAAAAATCAAGTTAATCGAATATTGAGAGTCACTTGATTGGCTCACATTTATCTAAAAGATAATTAGGGCAAACTTCACTTTATGTCCTTATGGTTTGGACCATGTATGGTTTATCCCTTAATATTTGGAAATAACTACATAACCCCACGTGATTTTTGTGGATTGCAGTACATCGTTAAACAATTTATCTAACTTTTTTTTTTTTTGAACGGCAGAAAAGAGCTTTATTGATGATAAAAACCAACAAGGACTTACAAGAAACATCAACAATGCGGGAAAACAATAGCAACAAAGCTAGACAAGATTGGTGAGCTACCAATCAAAACAACCAACAAAAACTAGCAGACAGTAGGAAAGAAGATCCAACTGCAGGAATGTAATAGAGCGACCAAACAGCAGCAATGAAGCAGAGGCACCTCCAGGTCTGAAACAGAGTTGAAACACCACACAGCCAGATTCCCCAACAACTCAACAACTCAGATCAAACTGCAGCAATTCAACAACTCAGAACCCCTGCACAGATTCCCCAACACAGAGACCAATCCACATATGCTGCTGCTACACACCAAAAGATAGTAGAATATAAGCCAAAGCATTGCTGCTGCTTCAAATACACTCAACCCCGACCACCTAAACAAACTCAAATCTGGCTAATATTATAAAGAAAATCATTAATGGAGAATGGGCAATCCTTAGAAGAGGCTTCCAAATAGCTAGCCTGATAATAATAGACTCCTTAAGCTCCTCCATATCCGGTTGAACACAATTGAACAAGCAATCATTCCGATGTTTCCAAATTGAGCACATTGCAACCAGAGGGATAGCAAGCCAAATTCTCCTTTCAGCTTTCATGAGACAGGTGCCATCCCACCAGTGCAACAAGCCTTCAACAGAGCCAAGTACAACCCAAACCAAACCCCACCATTGCACTAAACCAGACCACACCTTCCAGAGGACAAGAAATGAGGACATGTGAAGCAGACTCTACCTCTGATTTGCAGAAAATACACTCAGTTGAGGCTTCCTCACCCAGCACTCCAACCCTTTGAAGGAAAAGCAGAAGTTTTGATCTTGTGTTTCCAAGCTAGCTAACCAAAAAATTGAACTTTGGGTGGGATATAATTAATCCACACCAGTCTACAAGTACTTGCAGCTACACCAAAACCCATTTCACAATTCCTGTAAAGAGAAGCAACAAAGGATTGACCTGGTTTACAATCCAACCACCTTGGATTATCTTTAACCCCCAAACTTAACATAGGAGCTGCTCTTAACATGACAGTGAGCCTGGATACCTCCTCAACCTCCCATTGCCTCAAAGACCTTCTTAGACAAAGATCCCAAGCCCCAGAGGTTCCTTTTTTGTCAACAAAAAACTTTAAAGAACCATTCTTCTCTGTAGAGAGTGAAAATAGTCTAGGGAAAGCCTCTTTAAAACAAATACCACCACACCACAAATCATGCCAAAATCTCACTCTATTCCCATCACCCACTTTAATTTGAAAATTCTTGGCAAAAATTGGAATAGATTGATACTATGCTCTGCCACTGCAATGATATAACCCCATAACTTTGACCATCTAATACCACCAATTTGATTTGGAAGCCAAGCTCCAACTTCAATTTTATACTTATGACAAATCACCTTTTTCCATAATGCTTGATCTTCATTTGCAAATCTCCACCACCACTTCAATAATAAGCAAGAACTTACCTCTCTAATTCTCCTGATACCCAACCCACCCTGGTTAATGCTCTTGGTAACCTCCTTCCACCGCACTATGTGAATTTTTCTTTTCAATTCTGTGCCTCCCCATAAGAAGGCTGCTTGAATTTTATCTATCTCCTTGGCTACTTCTTCTGGCAACCTGAAGAGGAAGAGGTAATACATTGGCAAACTGGACAGTACTGATTTGATGAGAGTCAACCTTCCAGCATATGATAAGAGTCTCCTTTTCCACCCAGCAAGTTTGCCTTTTTATCTTATCTAAAACAGGTTGCCAAAATTTCTTCCTACTTGGAGAAGAACCCAGAGGTAAACCCAGAAATTTCAGTGGCAGGTTCTGAGGTTTACAGTTAAGCACAGAAGCGAAATCCTTAAGAGAATTGATTGAAGTTCCAACCCCACAAACCACACTCTTGTGGAAATTGATCTTAAGACTCGAAATCATTTCAAAGCATCTTAAAATTCTTTTAAGATTCATTACCTCCTCCATATCCGCTTCACAGAAAAGTAAAGAGTCGTCAGCAAATTGAAGGTGTGAAACAACCACCCCATTAACTCCAATCTACACCCCTTTAATCAGACCCAAGTCCCTTGCTCTGAGCAGTAGAATACTAAGCCCTTCTACAGCCAAATTGAACAGAAAGGGTGATAATGGATCACCTTGTCTTAGTTCTTTTTGAGGGCTAAACTCTTTGGTTGGTGACCTATTCACAAGAACAGAAATTCTAGCAGTTGAAATACACTCCTTCATCCAATTAATCCATTTAGAGCCAAAGCCAAAATTTGGTAGCATGGAAAGCAAATAACCCCAGTTGATGGAATCATAAGCTTTTTCAAAATTGAGTTTGAGCAACACCCCCTTCTTCTTAGCTTTCTTCCACCCATCCACAATTTCGTTTGCGATCAAAACCCCATTCAAGATATTTCTTCCACTCAAAAAAGCTGGTTGGGTTTCACCTATAACTTCTGGCATAACTAGCTTGAGTCTACTGGTCAGAACCTTTGACAAAATCTTGTACATCGAACCAATCAAGCTTATCAGTTTATAGTCCTTAAGATTGACTGCCTTGACCTTTTTCGGAATTAAAGTGATGAATGAGTTGTTCAAACCATAAGTCAATTTACCCAAACTGTGGAATTCTTTCATGAACAACATCACATCTTCTTTAAACACCTTCTAATTCTTTTGTATACACATTAAATTAAAGCAAGTACACTAACTTAATAGCAAGTACGAAACACGTGAGACATAAGGGGCACTACAAGAAAATACACTTTTGGCTACTAAAATATTAGTCACCAAAGGCTCAATACATGGATGGAAAAATATTCATATTTCTTAATATAAATACGTGGCATACAACATTTAGAACATGTCATACTGCACAAAGATATTGACAATAGCAAGCATCAAATGCACCAATTGCGAGCACTCAACAATATCTAAACAATGTGAAGAGTTCACTTAATGATTACCAGGCTTGTCCACAAATTGTGTTACTCATCTTGAAGTCACAACTGCCATAGCAAGAGATTCCATAGCAATATATATATATATATATATCAATGAAAATATTGAATTGCCTTGTATGATTCCATAGCCAGTCCATTATGTTGACATTGTAAGTGATTTTTGTGATTAGATGCTCTCCCCACTTCTTTGTTATATAAGCATATTGTTTGTTGTAGTTTAGCAAATTAATGCTTTAAATTGCAGATTTAGAGCAGCAACGATTGCTTTCTCTAGGATTTTGCTTGGCCTTGATAGGTATCATATCAATTTTCTCAAATCCAGTTTGGTGAGAACCTATCTTGTGAAGAAAAGGGAAAAGAACATAAAGCAAAAGAATCTAAATATTTTTCTGTTATTCAAATAGATTAGGGAAAATGAGAAGAATATTTTAATATATAGTAGATAAAAATAAAATAAAAATACATTGACAAAAGGTTGTAGCATTTTTTTCAATAAAAAAAACCATTAATCTACAAATACAAAGCACATAGTCACTTCATTGCAAAATGGTTTTAAAAAAAAAAAAACATTACCAAAATGCTCCATAAACAAGCAATCTAATCAGAGATTCATACACTAATATTTACATCAATACATTCATATGCAGAGGGATTACTTGATCAATGTCAGATTCAACAACTGATAGATGCATCTTTCGAGCCTGATCGAACAGAGCAGGGAGAGACATCTCTTCCATCTTCAATTCGCCCATTGGTGATGTAATCGAACTAGAAAACCCTAGAAATTGCAAGGGTGATCCGTCGATCCAAACCCTAGGCGCAGATTCAAATTGCAAAATAAGAAGAAATAAAGAAAGATAGAAATAGAGAGAAGAACTTCCATGAGAGAGTACCTTGGACGTGATCGAAACCCTAGGTGTAGATTCAAATCCAAAAACAAGAAGAAACAGAAAAAGAAACTTGAGAGAGAGAGAAAGAGAGCGTACCTTCAATCGAGTTTGAAAGAATTAGGATTGAGAGATTGAGAACAACATGAAGGAGAAAGAGAATGAGATTGAGAGATTCATAACAGTGTGAGACCAAGAGAGAGAGAGAGAGAGAGAGAGAGACAGAGTGAGAACGTTAGAGAGAGAGAGAACAATCAGTGTCTGTGAAGGGCTAGGGCAAATATAAGGAAAATGTGAAAATAAATAAAAGAAAATAACAAATGGCGCCTAAATGTATTTTTGGTAGCAAAAACCTTAATTAGCAGCGACTAATTTTTTTTTTTAGTTGCTAAAGGTAGTAGTTTGGTGATTAAATATTTTGGTCGCCAATTAATTTTATAAATTCCTCCAAAATTTGAAATGTCTCCCTCTAAATATTTAAGTTGTTTGGCGACTAAAAAATTTTTTAGTCGCTAAAAATAAATTTTTGGCAACCAAACTTTTGGTCATCAAAGATAAAAAGTAAATTTTTATTTTTTATTCGGCGAATAAATAATTTTAATAGCCAAAACTAAATATATAGCGACTAAAAAATTTTATAGTCGCTAAAAGGAAGTTTTTGGCAACCAAATTTTTGGTCGCCAAAGATAAAAAAGTAATTTTTTGTTTTTCATTTGGCGACTAAATTATTTTAGTAGCCAAAATTAACTATACAACGACTAAAACTTTTTTTAGTCGCCAAATGTGGCATTTTTAGCGACTAAGTTTTTTTTTAGTCGCCAATAATCAGTATACCCCGACTAAAAAAAATTAGAAGCTAAATATTGTACTTTTGCCGACTAATTTAATTTTTGGTCGCCAATTCCACAACTTTTAGTGACTAAATTTTTTTTAGTCGCCAAAAGTGCAATTTGTTGTAGTGGGGGTTATATGTTTATTTTCAAATTTTAAGGGAATAAATCACACATGGAATAAAGTAGAGGGAGTTAAAGTGCATTTCATTTTATAAACAAATGACGAAAATATCCGTAATTCATACACTTAAGTTCCTTATATATAGGGGTATTTTAGTCTTTTTCATTAAATTATTAACGGGGCTAACGGTGCACTTCAGTCCACAAACTAAGTAGGGGTTATATGATCATTTTCAAAAAAAAATTTCTTTCAACAAAGTATAATTTCATTAAAAATATGAAATTAAAAGTATAGGAAGATGAAATGTATTGAGAGAGATTCAAAAGGTATAATCTATCCCTACTACTACTACTCACATTCATACAACCAATCCCTCGGCCATGTGTGGTTTACCCTCGTAACGTTCAAAAATTTTAGGTGAATAAACATTATAAAGGTAAACTGTACTTGACCCAAATCACAAGAGAATAAAGTAAAGTTTGCCCAAATAATTAGTGGACAACATAATTTTAAAAATAGTCAACCTAATTAACAGCCAATAAAATTTTTAAAGTAGACTAACTTCAAATTTAGATTGTCTGTTAATTATTTTTTAAACAAATATGATATGATTGAGTGACTCTTGATATTATCGACCTAATCTTTAGGATACATGATCTCTTTAAAAGATTTTATAAAATAAATAATTTAAATTATTAAGATAAACTCGAAATAAGCCCACAGAAAATCAGACTGAATCGTGCAATTAAATATACCAACCGAAAAGAATCGAGTAGCTTTTCAATATTGTTATTTAAAACTCGTGTATGTGAACACCATTGGAGCAATAAGCGGCTGCTTTTTGCTTTTAGTGCCACTAATTAACCTCTTACCGAATATCTGTAGGCATACAAGAAGCTGATCTGTGTTATCTTATGGCATGTTAGTGCTTGCTTGACATGTAGTTATTGTAATTGGAATCAACGTCATTCCAAAGCAAAGAGAGTTTTAAACGCTAGCGACCACTTTCAAAAACTGCCAAAAACTCAGCACCATCAAAGCTTACACTCACTTTCAATTTGGATCCTTCTTGGTGCATTGTCTGTTGTAGTGTATAGGTTGTAGTGTCTTAAAACGACATCATATTGTTTGAGAATAAATGATGTAGTCTGAAGACAATACAGAATGTATTAAGGGTGTTTCATAGATTAGATTGGTCTGATTTTAGAGTAAATAAAGAATTGTAACGGTACTTATAATTTCAAAAAATTAAAAATATAATTGAACTATCAAACTTATTAAACCAGACCAGAATGGAACCATCAAATCCGATTTGATCAGCTCGGTTCTATGGTTTTAAAATTTTTATATGACTTGAAGCTGAGTTTTCAGAGGCAGAGATAAAAACTGCTTTATATGACTGTGACGGGAACAAGGCACCAGGACTAGACGGTTTCAATTTGGCATGCATTCAAAAGATGTAGAAAGTAATAAAGAGGGAGGTGATCAATTTCATGAGGGAGTTTCATAGAAATGGAAGGCTTGTTAAAGGGATTCATAGTTCTTTTATCACTTTGGTGCCTAAAAAGGAAAATTCAGTAGGCTTATTGTATTAGATCATTGTATAAGATCTTATCCAAAGTGCTCTCCTCTAGGTTTAAGGTAGTGCTACCTCACATTATCAGTGAAAATCAGTCAGCATTCTTAGGAGGTAGGTATATTTTAGATGGTGTATTGGTAGCAAATGAAGTAGTTGATGGGTGGAAGAAAGCTAGAAAAAAAGGGATTGATCATAAAGTTGGATTTTGAAAAGACATATGACTCAGTAAATTGGGAATTCTTGCTTTCCATGTTGTCAAATTTTGGTTTTGGTGATAAGTGGGTTGAATGGATCAAGGAATGTATTACAACAGCCAGAATTTCTGTGCTTATTAATGGTTCTCCAACTGGAGAATTTAGTCCACAAAGAGGTCTTAGACAAGGGGACCCGTTGTCTCCATTTCTGTTCAATATAGCAGCAGAGGGGTTAACTTTATTGTTGTTTAGAGCTCTTGAATTGGAAATAATAAAAGGGGTGAAGATTGGTTCAAGTAGTGTCGGTCTTAGTCACCTACAATTTGCAGATGATTCAATATTATTTTGTGAAGCTGATTTGGTTGAAGTACGAAATCTGAAAACGATATTGAGGTGTTTTGAAGTTCTTTCAGGATTGAAGATTAATTATTATAAAAGTGTGGTATGTGGAGTGGGAGTCCAAGATGATCTAATGAATGAATATGCATCAGTGCTCAATTGCAAGGTGAAAAGCTTGCCATTTCAGTACCTTGGGTGCTAATCTGAGTAGGAAATCAACGTGGAGACCTGTTTTGGATAAAGCTAGAAGCAAATTAGCAAGATGGAAAAGGAGATTGCTCTCATTTGCTGGAAAATTTGTAATGTCTTCCTTACCTTTGTATTATTTGTCTTTGTATAAGATGCCAGAAAGGGTAGCAAAAGAGTTTGAAAAAATTCATGCAGCATTCCTTTGGGGTGGGTCTGAGTTGAGGAAAAAGTTACATCTAGTTAATTGTAAGAAAGTATCAAAACCAGTGGAGCAAGGGGGTCTGGGGGTTAGGAGAGTATTAGAGGTTAATAAGTTCCTTTTATTAAAATGGTGGTGGAGGTTTGGTATTGAGATTAATGCTTTGTGGAGAAGAGTTATCTGCAGAAAGTACAAGGTTGATGAGGGTAATTCGATGCTTACAATTAACTCCACTAGTAGCAGCTCTCAAATTTGGAAGGACATGGTAGATGGCAGTCATTAGAGCAGCAGTTTGGTGAGGTTTTTCCTGGAAAACTGCAAGATAAAAGTTGGTAATGGTCATAGAGTGAAGTTCTGGTGTGACAAATGGTGTGCAAACATTTGTCTAAAGGAGGAATTCGCACTGCTTCATAGATTGGTTATTAATAAGGGAGAATCTTTAAATTCAATGATGATAAGGAAGGTGAATGCAGGAGAGTGGGTTTTCCAGTTCAGAAGGGAGCTTTATGACTGGGAAAGGATGGAGGTTACTAGATTGCTAACTCTGTTAGAGGCAGCCCCTGAAACAAGGTCAGATGCTGAGGATGTACTGGTATTGGTAGTCTCAAAATCAGGTAGCTTAACAGTCTCATCTGTGTACAAAAATCTGGCAGCTGGTTTTGGTAATAAATGTCCAGCAAGTAAGTTGGTGTGGGTGAAGTACATTCCCCCTAGAGTTCAATTCTTTGGGTGGCTTGCTTGGAAGGACAGATTGAAGAATACAGATTTCCTTCTTCGTATTGGTATTCTTGCTGCTAATGTTTCAGCCCTATGCATTTTCTGCAAAATATAGAAATAGTCACTTAACCATGTGTTATTGCATTGCCCAGTGGCATGGAGAGTTAGAATAGAAATTTTAAAGTGGTAGGGAGTGCAAGGTGTACAACCAGGATCAGTGGAGTCACTTCTAAACTGGTGGAATGGGGTAAAACTTAACAAAAATGAGAGGTTGATATGGAAAGCTTTACCTATTACTGTGTTGTGGTCATTGTGGAAACATAGAAATGATTGCATTTTTAAGGATGTGGTTCCAAGGGAGGAAGTAGTCTGCGAACTAATAAAAGTCAAGCCTGCTCTTTAGTTCAAAGATGTGTTCAAGGATCATCAGTTCTCTGTGAATGATTTCATTTTCAATCTGAGGCAGATTAGATTTTGTTTGTGTAATGGAAGTAAGCAAGTGCATTAAGGCTAAATATGCATAGTTTCCCCGGATCCCTCCATTCTTGGAACCATATGTTGAATAAGTTAAAGGTGTTAACTTTGGCTCTGGAAGTGATGGCATCCTTTTGGAGACCAATTAGGGTTTGGTGATTAATTTGAAGTCACAGTTAAAGTATTTTGAAGAGATGGAAAAGCATTAACAGAGAAATTGGGAGTAGAGGGAGCAAAGAAACTGATATCAGATGTTGTTTATTTTAGTAGCATTGGCAGTATTGATTATATGGATGGTTACTTGGGAACTTGTCATAAGCAATCCAGCTAGAGAGGAATGTTGCTTGGAAGTGGTTGTTGAGTGGAGTTATGGAAAAAAGGGCTTTGGTGTGTTTTTTGAGAGATGATGGAGAAGATAGAAGTTTATTTTATTGATGTATTGCACAGAGGTGTAGTTGCTGCTGTTGGTAGCTTAGTGGATTGGTATGGTGTTGGTGAATAGGTGCTTCTGCTACTGTATTGTTACTGCTGTTGGTTTGGTTGGTAGCTCATTATTTGTTACTGTTGTTGTTTTTGTGGATTTGTTGCCTGTCTTGTTGTTCTATATTTTTTCTTTC